AGAGCCGAGGCTTTAAACAATCAAAGTAAAGCACACTTTCAAATAGTGTTGAGGGATGTGATTTCAATATTGGAAATCTTTGTGATAGCCTTGATATATTTTCATCTTTAATTATAGAATTTAAAGCTTCAAAAATAGTGTAGATCGAGCAGATCTATGAAAACTTGAAAATCTTGAAAATTGACAGTCCAAAAATGCATTACAAGATGCACTATTTCCACAACTTGAAATTCATTTTTTCCTCATGTCCATGCATCTTAATGTCGAGATGATCAATTTGAGAGAATATTTGGGCATCACAACAACCTCTTCTTCTAAAATTTTTGTGGTGGGCTCTAATTTGATTGTTTAGAGCCTCCGCTCTTTATAAACTTTCTCTTTACTTAAATATTATTACTAATTTATACAATTATATTTATTTAAGTATTATTAAATTATTATATATTAAATATTATTTGCATAATAAGTTAATAACATTATTCGGGTTAGGTCCACATCGACTCGGACCCAAATAGCATTTGGATCCAATATTTGGAACCGGACCCTACCCAACCCACCGAGTCCAATTTTTGGACGCATACCCAAACACGGGTTGGGGCAAGGTCCATTGCCACCCCTAGTCTCAATCGAGGTTTCTTTTGTATTCTATTTCCAAAACCAGATTTACCAAAAAAGTTCTTGTTTGCGGAAAATTTTAGAAACCCACCCTTGACATAATTTTAGCGCATGTTCCATCCAAATACTTTTCAAACTTTTATTTTTGCATCCACCACCTAAAGTAAGGAAGTCTTCTGTCTAGGACTTAGATACCTCCATGTATAAACTTTGAATATAGGATATTTTCTCTCTCTAAATATTTAAAATTTGAGATATTGTGTTTCAAATTTTGAGATAGTTTCCCTATTTAAAATTTGAAAATTAATATAGTTTTTTTCTCTACTTTAAGATAATTTCTTTCTCTCAATATTTGAGATAGTTTCTCTCTTGAATATTTTTTAGTTTGCTTCTATCTCTGAAAATTTTGCGATAGTTGCTCTTTAAATTTGAAATTTGAGATAGGCTTTTTCTCTAAAATTTTGAAATAGTTTCTAATGTAGCTGAGATAATTGGCAGCCAGGCAAATACATCCGCTTTTAGATAGAGAATGAATCAGCTGAGAAGAAATCCCAAATAAAAGGGCACAAGAGCAAGAAGCCTCTCTCTCACTCTATGCCATTGCCAACCGAGAATCAACTGAGAAGAAATCCCAAATAAAGGGTTTTTATTCACCAAATAAAGCCCTCCTTATAATTGACCTCCATCCCCTTTTAAAAGTTCACCTAGAGGGAGAAAAAACATCTTATTCTTTCCTTCTATACGATAAACTTTTTCAAATTATTATCTAAAAGAAACATTCTTAAGAACTCATAATTAACCTACTCTTGATTTCTAAGATAAACCTAAGAACGGACTCCTTTTCTTTCTAAAAGACTTATCCTTAAAAGAAAAAAACAAAAAACCCGACTCTAGATGATAAATAAAAAAACAACTGAAAAAAATAAGGATTTCCTAGAAATAAAATAAAATAACACGATAGCTCCATGGAAGGCCTCCTCTTACGGTTCTGATCTGATCGCTCCAAATACTCTAGCATGATCACCTCGACTGTATTGGTTTATCTCTCTGAAAAATTTTGAGATAATTTCTCTCTCTAAAAGTTGAAATTTAATACAGTTTCCATCCTTACAAATTTTGAGATAGTTTCTCTATCTAAAATTTTAAATTTCAAGTTTTTAGAAAGAAAAACAATTTTAAATATATAGATGGTATTTTTCATCCTAAACCGTCTACTTTCTTACTTAGGGGGGTAGATGCAAAATTAAATGACGTTGGGGTTAGTGTGTGATTTAAAATGTGTTGGGGATGGGCATGCCTAATAAGTGCTGTGCGGCTATAATTTTCCCATTTTTTCTTTTTTTTTTAGTCAATGAGCTTTATTTTATTTTTAAAAACAAATATGAAAATAGACATGAACGATACACTATGTAATATTTTATACTTATAGTTCGGTTTAATTTTAAAATACCTACAATAAGACAAAACGATCATGAGTTAAAATACGGGCCTAAGTGTTAGATATTGCATCTCTCATTGGTATTTTGATAAATTTCTCTCAAATCAAGTAACCAAATAACATGAGGGTGATAATCTCGTCAGTCCAATCTTTGTGGGTACCTCGTGTGTCGACTTGATCCTGGGCTAGGTCTGAAGGTCAGGCCAAACCAACTTGGACCTAATCGGGTTAGCCAGTTCCTTAAATCAAAGTTCTCTTTCGCGAGGGAATTGGATGGTAGGAGTATATATTGATTCTCAAGTACACATAAATAGTGAACTCTCTGTCTCTATCCTGTGATCCTATAAGACACAGAATATTATGAATAGATAAATCATATTTCATATATGTAGACGATGTACATTGATTGCAAAAAAGTGTTTGATCTTTTTGCCAATGCACATGCAACCATGCCATTAACCTCAGACTTTCTCTCTTTTTGTTACAACTTAGAAGTGAAGAAATTCAAAAGAATGTCTCTTAAGAGAGTTTCAGAGAGTTGGTGGAGGGAGGATCCAGGTGCGACCACGAATGAAGCTCTCATCCAAGAATGGCTTGGCTTGTGCATCAGTGAGCAACTTCACGTAGTCCACTCGCCGGTTTGTGTTGGCTCCGGGACCCTCGCACTTGTACTCTCCGTAGAAAACCGTCCTAATTAAAAAACATGTACATTTAATGTCGAGCAATACTACATCTCAAGTTTGATTCCTATCGATTAACTACCAAAAACACATTTAATGTTAAGCAATACTACATCTCAAATTTGATTCGTACCGATTAACTACCAAAAACAAAAAAAAATACCATGCGGGAATATTAGTAAGGTGCATAGTGGGAAGGATTTTTTTGCATGCACAATTGTTTTAGCAATAGCATCGTTCTTTTTATGCACATTTAAATACTCATAAGTGGCCCAACTTGGTGCATTACTATTAATAGGGGAACTAATTTTTGTAACTCAGCTTTGTCGCATAACTTACCAATAGGGTGGCAACGGGTCTGGCCAGGACCCAGACCGACCCAAGAATTAAAATATCTATTTATTAAATTATATTTAAATATATTTCATAAATGGTACTTAAAAAATATTCCCGGACCCTGACCCATACCTAAATCCGACCGAATTCAAGCGGACCCAAACCCATACCCAAATAGTGTTCGAGTCCAAAATTTGAACAACCCAGCTCGTATAATTTTTGGATTTGTACCCGGATCAGGTCTATCCCTTAGATCCCTTAGGATTCAAGGATGGCCATTGAAAGAAAGCAGCACACCTTCTTCTTTTTGACATAAACTATGCACTCGCTGGAGCATAATGTTCATCCACTCCATCAGGAAGAAGAGCTATTTGGTAGGATTGTTTTAAATTAAAATCTTAGGAACTACCTAAGAATCACTTCACTGAATGGTTATTTTCAAAAGGGAAAATTTGAAATTTAAGTTGCAACGTATATAACTCTCAGAAAATTGGATGATTCTTGTTCAATCTCGAGATATTATTTTTTTCAGTTACTCAGAAAATTGGATGATCCTTGTTCAATCTCGAGATATTATTTTTTTCAGTCACTCAGAAAATTGGATGATCCTTGTTCATCTCGAGATATTATTTTTTTTCAGTCACTCTCATAAAATTGGATGATCCATCCTTGTTCAATGTCGAGATATTATAACTCGAGATATTAATTTTTTTCATGTGCATAAAGAGTGTGATTGGAATTGTTTTATCAAATTGAATGCCCTTACTTGTCTCGTTCTGTGAAACCCTTGTCGTTCCAGCCCTCTGGGTTGACAACAGTGTCGAAATATGAGTAAGCAAACACGACACGAGAGTATTCGCGCCATGCTCGGCTCAGATACACATCTCCCATGCCAGTCACATGGCAGTCCAGAAAGACGAAACCACTCTTATCGCCCTTGCTCGATTTCCCTTGAGCGACAATCGCTGTCTGTCCAGGGTAATCACTCACCGATCTGATCTCGCAATTCTGTGAAAGAAAAGGAGAGAAGAAAAATCAAAACAGTAACAAAGATTCATACATTTCTTAGAAAGAAACATCAGAAGATAACAAAAAAATCTTTTTGTTATTGTGGCTTTTCACTTACTCTGTAGAGAGATCTGCCAGAACCAAAGATGAAGTCGACAGAGCCCTCAATGTAGCAGTCTTTGAAAAAATGGCGGCCCTTGTCGTCAAGGAGGGTGTCTTGGTACCCATAAAACCTGCAATTGTAAAACGCTGCCTTGTCACCGGAGATACGCATCGCCACTGCTTGGCTTTGTGCCCCGGCAGCGGGCTTTGGCGCCGCATTCTGAAATCCACCCATACAATTTTCTTTCACCAACTAAATCGGTTTAAATTTTTACTGAATTTCCACTGTTTTTCAGCAGATCATGTCCATATGTTGAACTATTATGCTGCTATACAATTTTCTTTCACCAACTAAATCGGTTTAAATTTTTACTGAATTTCCACTGTTTTTCAGCAGATCATGTCCAAATGTTGAACTATTATGTTGATTGGTGCTGCGGTTCTATAATCCATTTCAAAAACATATGATGAAAAATGAAGCTTTTGGCAGTGGTAATGGTTTGAAATACACACACAACAGTAAATGGAATTCTTTTTCAAATTCAACTGCTCATCTTGCCCCTTATTTTAGGTTAAACACTCTATGCTCCTGAAGGAGTATACTGACTCTTTACTCCCTCCAATAAAACTCAATCTAGTACTCTCAGGACCCTAAATTTTATGGGCTGTAACCTCTTCTACCCAGTGAATAACCTCAAACCACACACACGTGTCAACATCCCGTGGCATGCGTTTGAAGAAAATAGCATCTGACCATCTAATTTTTGGAGGGAGAAATCTAAGTGTTAAGGAATACAACATTCTTGACTTTTATAATAATGTATCTATCAGGTCAATTGATTTCTATGTCGATTCCAAAATTTTAAATTAAAAAATTCAAAATTAATCTTCCTGAATAGCTCTCTAGCCTAAAGGAGTGGGTAGGCATACAGAATGCTCCCACAGGAGTATAGTTTATGCTGTAAGATCAATTAAATGCAATAGAATTCATCGAGCTAATTCCCATGACCACTGTGCCTGGACCCACCTCAGCCAGGGGACGTGTCCCCGGCCTAAGCGGATTAGTTACTCAGTCGAGTACAGAAGCACAGGACCAAGAGGCCCAACAAATATTTAAAAAATTTAGAAAAAATTAAAATTGTTTAAAAGTAAATTTAGCCATAAAACACCTTTACAAAGTCAAAAAACAATTAAAAAATAGAAAAAACATGATTTTAAAAAACCCCAATTTACAGTATGGAATTTTATTTTCCAAATACATTTAAATCCTTGAAGAAAAATTTTAACAATATATTTTATTTTTATAATTTTTCATTATTTAAATTTTTTTAAAATGCTCCGAGTTGTATGCACAACTTGGGGGTACTCGGCCTCAACCTAAGAGAGCCAAGTCTAAGTGGACTTGGCCGAGTCATGACAAAATGACTATGATCATCGTCCTAATAAATCTCCGGAATTGTACACAATAAGACCATTTACCTTTGATACAAGGTGGTCACAATTACTTATAACCATCTAATGTGAAATTTGATAGCTTGGAAGTGTCACAAAATTTGAAAAAATTTCTTTTGAAGTTTGAACTTAGTCAATAGAATAATTGCAGCCACCCAATTTCACATCCAATAGTCTAGATTAATGCGATCACCTTGTACCAAAGGTATATGGTCTCATTCTATACTTTTCCCTAAATCCCCACATCAGTAATTTTAAGTACGGGGTGTTTTGTGTGATTTGGACAGGATTTGTGCATATTTAAGAGTGAAGTTCTCCTGTATACAGGCAGGAAATTGTGGTTAGTGTTTTATAATTCTAGATTTATGAATTTCTTGCCTTGAAGATGATATTGGCAGCCATAAAATAGTGAGAATCGACGGCCACGGAGGCGCTGAGCCACGTCCCAAACTTAGCAGCTGTATCATCGAAAGTGATGGTGGGCATCGCATTGGGATCGCCCAAAAAAGTAACGAACGGCTTGCTCTTCTCCACTGTCACCTTCTCCTTGTATACTCCAGGTCCTATATGCACCACAACTCGTCGAGAATTCCCTAATGGAATACTCTTCACTGCATCCGAAATTGTCCGGAAATCCCCAGTCCCATCTTGCCTGACCTTGATCACTCTTCTTTGCGCCTCGGCTCCCGCCAAACGTTCATCGAGTGCCACTCTTGTGACATTCTCGATCTGAGCCATCCGTTCCTTGAAGGAAGCAACATTACTGGCAACCCATTTCGAGAAATTTTTCGGAGATCTCGCCTGATTTTCAGCTACACAGAGGAGGCCAAGCACATTGATGGCAAGCACGATAATCGGAAAGACCGCCACTGGTGAACTTGGTTTTCCGGCCATTGGATAGTCGGAAAGTTTTTGAGTGGTGGTAGGGTGAGCAGCAACATGGGTAGTTTATAGGCGTGTGGGGCAATGGATGGTTTTAACACCGCGTAGGGTCTGTTTACCGTTTTACACGTGACCGGACACCTTTGGCTCACTCTCCTGTTTAAGGAGGGTATAAGTAGTTTAGGGAGTTTTATGGATCCTAGAATTTGATAATTTACTCTAGTGGTTGGTTGGTAGATGATTGGGAGATTATAGTTGGGGTGGTTTGTTTAAATTTGTTATCATATATTAGAGGGTTGCAAAAACAAAATTTATTTTTTTTATTTTAGGAAAAGCAAGAAAAGTATACAATTATTTTATTTATTGTAGAAATAACATAGGAATTGTGTGGGAGTCAATGATTAACTATATGCAAAAGTTGTTAGTTAGAGACAGTAAAGAACCTACACATGTTAGAGAAAGAAATTATCTCAAAATTTTTAGATAGACAATTTCAAATTTTAAATTTCGGATAAAAAGTATATCAAATTTTAAAGAGACAAACCACACCAAATTTTAGAGATATAAAGTATTTCAAAATTTTTATACATACACTATCCCAAATTTTGAGTTTTAGATAGAGAAAGTATATAAAAAATTTAGAGAGAGAAATTGTATCAAGTTTTGTTATCAAACAATGGACATACAAAGGATTGCAACGAATCTATGAATTTTATATAGTTTATCCAAACATTTGAGCAATTCACGACAAAAATCCATAAATTTCTTTAGATTTCAAATATATAAGATTCCTAATTTTCTTGTCAAAATAAGCCCTAATAGTTGGTTGATGATGAAGAGATTATATTTGGGGTGGTTCGCTTAAATTTGTTATCTCATAGAAACAAAAATTATTTTATTTATTTAAGGAAAAGTAGGAAACGTATACCTGAGACCATTTAGCTTTCGTATAAAGCAGTTACAATTAATCTTTACCATTGGATGTAATATTGGATTTATTACATCCAATATTACAAAGTTTAAAAGAAATTTTTTTGAAACATGTGACACACGCCCAAACTATCGAATTTCACATCAGATGACTATAAGTTATTGTGATCATATTGTATCAAAGATAAATGGTCTCATTATATACAGTCTCTTTATTTTAATTGGGACTGTAATAAAGATAAATTGTCTCATTGTACAATTTTAAGTCTACTGGCCCTAAATCGAGAGAGGAAATGGTTGCAAACGTGTTTACAAAGGATTTGCATTTTCTCAAGTTTGTGGTGTTATCATCACGCAGAGAGAGTGTTATGTGTCGCCGCTAACTCTTTACACATGCTCGAGATGCCAGACCAACAAGAGTGGCAAAAGGCACACCAAATCTAACATGGTGGTCGCACAATGACCAAATTGGCAATAATGAAAAATATTAGTCGTTTTTTTTTTAGGTAATCCAATGTGGATGTTGGGGCCTTACCCATTTTTTAATTTGTTGTATTTTTTGAAGCGGTTATTGGAAATGCACACCGTGCAACTAACGTATGGGTGTGCTACCACCACGACCTTAATCCCTTTCGAAAAATATTAAGTTTATTGGTTTTAACAAGGATGATATTTGGTTTGACATATTTCCTATTTTTGGCTAGAGTCAAATATTTGGATATAAAATAGGAATCGTGCGGGAGTCGATGATTAGTTATATGCACAAGTTGTTAGTTAGAGTGGAGAAGAACTCGCTCATGTTGGATTTATCACATACGTATTAGTTGGTGATCACTCACCTAAATAGCTACATATATTTCTTTGTTATTAGGAAAATGTTACGTTTTTTCTATAAACCCCCGGTAGCGTTTTTTCTTCATGTGGTTGGCCGGTTGTTATGTGATATTGAACTTTGTGCATCGGTCTAAAGGCTTCGTGTTCAAGGTGGGTGAAAAAGTGCTTCTTGTGACAGGTTGTTGGCCCGGATATAAAAAAGTGGGGCCTGGTCTACAAACTGTGGCCCCAAGGGCCAGGCTGGGACAATACCAACCTGATTTGGCCCGGCCCAACCTCTTGCTTCCTTTCGTTTCTCTTTTGTACGGTAATAGGGCCACCGCTTCAGCCAGCCCTAGGGAATGAGGGCCAAGGCTGGCTTGGCCCGTTTCACCCTTATTTTTATGTTGTTTTTGGTGTGCGATCCTTTTCCAGCAAGACTCTACAAATAAGGGGTGACGAGCTGGCTACTGTTAAATATCAGAAGGCAAGAAGGTTTATGCCTTCAATTTAACTGTTTACATAATACAAGCATTGAGACTAATTAATCCTTTTGCAACCAGAGTAGGGACTTGGGTGTTTTGGTTCAGGTTTGGGTGTTTTTAGATGAAAGTGAAAACGGAAAAGGTAATCAGGCATTTGTGCCCCATTTATCACCCATTTATCACTATTTTTTCATGTGGGTTTCCATGAAAAAGGAACCGGTAGTTCTGCATAGTAAAACAATGATTCTCTACAGTAAAATGGCGATCGGGACCATAGTTATCATGAGCAGGAGCGGGAACGGCTTCTGTTCTAGGAACGAGAGTGTCGGATCGATGGATGCCCAAAGCTTCTGAGCTCAAGGAACGAGTTCCAGTGAGGGTAAAAGTAGCCGATCGAGATCCCGTATGAACAAGAGCGCGTTCCCAATAAATCGGGATCTAGATCCTTATTTAATGGGTACACGTTCCATGTCAAATGGGATAGTGTTCACATATTCATTAGGATCGCACTCCGATATACAATAGGATCGCGCCTTCACCTAAGAATGACCACGTTCCTATTTGAAAAAGATTGAGTTCCATTCAAAGAAGGATCGTGTTCCATGCATGATTAGCCCGCTCTCACATCGCAGTACTCCACTTATATGAAAATTTGGCTTAAAATATAATATTTTATTTGACAGATTAATTTTATTTCAAAATTTTCTTTTAGGAAGTTTCGGGAATGTGGGGATGGAGTTCCAGAAATGTACGGTCGCGCTCCTAAAATTCTTGGAGCGAGTATTTAATTTATTCAAGAACGAGACCAACAACTTTAAGGAACGTGTTCCATGCAATAGTGGGATCAAGATCCTTTGTGCATGGGATCGAAAATCCTATAAATAGGAGCTTACTCCCAAAACATTTAAAACAAGTTCCAGTCGAGATCTCGGTCATGAAACGTCGGAGCTAGGTTCCGGAGCAGGAGAGCCACCCTCGTTGGCGCTCTTGATAACTATGATCCAGACCGTTGATTCATGACCCATACTGGTTTTTTCCTAGTTTGCTATTTAGTCACGTGTTTTTTTTTTTTTGCTAGTTCACAGTTTTTTCCACACAATAAACTAGCGATGGTGTAGACTGTTTTGGGGTACCCGACCTGTATCACTTATCTGTTTTTTAAATCAGTGGTTCCAGTAGAATTGATTTTAAATAGGGGGATGGTGTAGACTTTAAAGAGGAGGATGGTGTAAACATTTTGCATCATAACACCAAATTATCTGCTTTCTTTCAAAAAAAAAAAATGGGCAAGCTTTCTATGTTTCACTACAATATAAAACTTATATACTTCTCTTTATCCAACCGTCCATTCTCAATGGATGGTTAAGATTGCCCCAATCACAATGCCATGTTTTTACCCTATTTTATTTTTATTTTTTTATATAAAATATTTTGAAACCAAATTTTGGGCGTTCAATCCTCTATTAAACACACGCTTGTAAAAAATACTCAAAAAAATATTTCCAATAAAATAAAGTAACCAAAATACCCTGAAAAGTTTCAAGGGGTATTTTGGTTATTATATTTTATCAAAAAATTATTTTTTATATTTTTTTTAGGTGTACCCCAGTGAGAAGATCGCACGTAACCAAATTGAATATTCATACAATTTGTATAAAAAATTTAAAAATAAAATACTCTAAGGCATTAGATCGACGATCAAATGGTAGGCGGCTCACTTGATCAAAATCGAATGGCTGGATGGTAGGAGAAGCATAGATCTATATGTTGCAGGGGTGGAGTATAGAAACCTTTCCCTTCATATTTTCGTTTAATAAACCCCAAAATGTATGTTGTCAATGGTACAACCGGGCCGTGGACTGTTTTAATTTCGGGCACGGTCGGGCTATACATTGAGTGGCCCATGCCCAAGTTATTGCTCGAAATCGTAAACACTTAGGCGGCATTTGATAACTTTTTGTACAGTTTCCTTGGGATTCTTCCTACTGCTGACTTTCTTAGATTCTAAGAAAAAGTGAAAATTGGTAGCCTGAAAGGTAAGAACCCTGATAAATTATGGTGCATCTACTTTCTCATGTTTCGTAATGTTGATGCTTGGAAAGCACAAGCCAACCTATTTTAACCGTTTATTACGTATTTCGTATAATGTATATTTTTTAGTAAGATTTTCTTGCCACTACCTATCTCATGTATTTCTTACAATATATGGTTAAGATTGAAATTTATTCTTTAGAGAAGTATCACGTATAATTTTGCTACAAAGTAAATGTGTATTTCAAATTGTTACTTGTCTTTCCCACCCAAGAATGATGTCTGGATTGCCATGGATAAAAACAAGCAGTCAAATCCATAGGCTCATAAAATCTCATAGTTAGGTTCTTGTTCTAAATAACAGGAGTTGAACCTAGAGAGGCTCAAATTAGAGGTTTACAAGGAAGATCACAAACTTGTACGGTGTGTAGTATATTGTCCATTGCTGGCTATGAACATAACCAGAAAAGTAAGACCCCCTTTGCTCAAAATGGGAAAATCATACGAATGAATCACACCCATCCAACAACCTGTTAAAAGAATTGATCCATGTGCACCCATTTACCATTGAAGAGCAACTCAAATTCAATTCGAATCTCAGTTGTCTCATACCAAACATTCATCAAGCTCCTACAGGTTCTATAATAATATACACTATTTTCAATCATATGATACATAATTAGAGGCAAACCTATAAATTATAACATGGGATTTGTTCCTGCATCAGCACACAAAAACTACTTCATCATCATCACCAACACCACTACCCTCAAAACCACAATCTCTAATTCCAAAAGAATGAAAACCACAAACTATAAGAAAACAAGACCATTTAACATGAAAACTAACACGATG